AAAGAAAGAAAGAAAGAAAGAAAGAAAGAAAGAAAGAAAGAAAGAAAGAAAGAAAGATCCTTGTGCTCTTGGCAAGCCAGGGTGCCAGAGTCAGGGCCGGGGAAGGTGCCAGGGAATGGAGAAAATTCTGGCCTTTTGATATGAGGTTTGATGGGTCTGTTTGACAGTTGCTACAACATGGGATTCTTTGCTCCCAAAGGGCTAGAAATGGATCCCTCGAGAGCCATGCTCAGGATCCGTCGCCTGGAGTGGGACTTCGGCACAGGCAATAACTGGGTTCATCTACAGAGCTGGGTGCTGAGGCGGGCATCCTTACAGACCAGGTCAAGTGCTCAAGACGTCTGCATAATGGGAACAAAACAGGTCATTGGAGGGGACTGAGGAGCTACATGCTTCCCCTTTCCAAACTGAGAAAGCGTTCTCCTTTTGCTTGATCATAAAAATAAAGCACACTCCCTGCCAAACAATTCAAAATCCTCAAAACACATCAAAACAAAGAATAAGTCCCATGATCAGAGACAACCACTGTTAACTTTTTGTTTGTCTTTAACTGTTGGATCAGACACACATGCACATGCATACAAGCATCATCTTTCATACCCTGGACCACAGAATGCCCGTCCTTGATCAGCTCTTTTTTCTCCACACCGTGGCTTGGCATCATTTCCATGTCAACAAGCACAGCAACTCCTAGGACCCTGGGCCTCGATTTCACTTCTGACCCCTGTGCTCTTTTCAGTCTGGGGAAGGGGCTCCATTTGTCAGCTCCTCTCCCCTCCCACACCCCTACCCCCTCCTGCTCTGGGCCACGAGGAGCAGTGGCATGGGAAACAAGTCATTTCCCCTTTGTCCATGTAGGCCTTGGCAAGGCAGGTCCGAGGGGGCTGCGAGGGCCTCCGGGGCTGGGGGACAGGAAGCAGACCCGACCCTCCGTGTCACCCACCCACACTGCAGGCTGGCCCTGTCACAGCAACGGCTGCCTTGGGGCACCCCTGCCCGTCTCAAGGTCTCAGACCCCAACCGTAAAAAGCCACCACAGGCTCCACGTGCCCTTTCACAGCCAACCTCCCATTCCGGTGGGAAGGCTCCCGGAAGCCATGCCTGGGCCAAGGTCAAATCCAGGCGGGGCTGGCGAGGGGGGAGGGCTCCACGCTGGGAAGAAAGGGCGTACCCCAGAGGCTGAGGAAGTCATCACACCAGGGCCCCTACCTTCACGGGCCTCTTCCAGGGCGCCTGGAGGGGGCCCTCAATTTTAATATTTTTCTTGACGAGATCCCCTCAACTGGTGTTAAGTTTCCATCCCTTCAAAACCTGGCTCCACGCCTGGCTTATGCCACTGACAATAAATAACGAAAAATAGTTTCCATTTCTTTGAGTTAATAACCTTCTTTGAAATGGAACCAAGAAGAGACACGCAGTGAAAACCTTCCATCTTTGAGGAGAAAAGACCAGGATTTACGGTGTCTGTGATCAAACCCTTCAAAGGGGCGGGCACTTCATGTCACTCAAGGCCCATGGCAGTGTTCACAGAGAAGGCATGAGCCAGTGAAAGAAGTAGCAACAGAAGTCACCCCGCCTAGCTGTTCCCAAGCTGGGGTGGAGGTGGCATAGATGGTTCTGGAACACATAGGCCAGTGCCGAGAGCTGGGAGGGTGGAAGCACAGGCCCAAAAGCTCTTGGAAATAAGGCAGCCACAGAACAGGGAAATCTTGCCCACCTTCCCCCCAACCCATTCTCTCATAATATTTACTCCGGAGGATCTAATGGACACTCCTCAGAGCCCAGGACACTCCCCTTTCTCTGAGACTAACCAGTGCCCTGGTAGAGGTGGGCCTCTGGGGCCAGTTTATATCTCAGGACCCTACCTGCCAGGCCAGGGGTGGACACAGACAAAGACGTTATGCGCTCTCTGCCCCAGCTCACCCCGTCACCATGCCAGAACCCAGTAGGCCTGTCCCCTGCCACTAAGCCCCAGCCTTCTGGCCACTTGGGTTCAATCTATAAATGAAATTCAAGACCCAGAGTCGGCTCTCAAGGCACCTAAGGGGTGTGCATGGTTGAGGGGGGGGGTCCTTGAGGCTCTTGTTCTCACGTGACCT